TATATATATATATATATATACACACAGGTGAAACTCGAATAATTAGAATATCGTGCAAAGTTAATTTATTTCACTAATGCAACTTAAAAGGTGAAACTAATATATGAGATAGACTCATTACATGCCAAGCAAGCTAACTCAAGCCGTGATTCAAACCATAATCTCTGCTCACACTGATCAATCTTAATTGTCAGGTTGTTTATATTTTTTTCCCCCCAGAATCACAAGGACCAGAATTACACAATCTTGAAAACCAAATCTACGTTTATGACTGTGGATGGTTTAAAACCTGGGACCACCTATGTTTTCAGAGTCCGGGCTCACACGGTTGGTGGACAAGGAATATATGGTGGTGAAATAGAGTTGGAGACCAGCACTGAAGGCAAGCCCTCTTCTTCCTAACTTGGTTTTCTTTTATGTCATAGAGTAAAAGTTCTACCATAGATCATATGCCCAGCAGTTGTAGTTCTGACTATATGTAATTATTAAATATCAGTCTGGTTGCTAGAAGCAGCAACAGTATTATTAACTTTGGGTTCACAAAAGTCAGGGTCCACTGACTTAGAACTTAGAGGTCAACACCTCCACTATACAATATAGAGCACATAGTCTCTGATCTGTTTTTGTCTCACAGTAAAAAAAAATTACAAATTACTGCTTGGGTAATTGGCTGTTGTTCAAATTAGCTCTGGTGTGTGTTTGTATGGTTGCAGAAGGTTATTGGACTGCGGCAGGGACAGATGTGAATTGTTAAATACTATATTCTCTATATGAAACTCCAGAATGAAAATGTTTTATTTTTAATGGAAGAGTGTGGAAAAATTAAACATTCTTCTAGGTTTTTTGAGCAGATTTGCCCTTAATTCTCCTCTTGCTGAAAATTGCCATCAGGATAGAAAGTAAGAGGTAGTTCAACCATTGATAATTGTCCCTGGAACAGGAGAAAAAGTCTCAATGCATGCAAAACTCCCAGTTCATACCCATCTATCAGATGGAGAACTTACCCTCTCCTTTCACGTACAGTTGTGTTCACAAGACAGGACGTAAGGGAAACATCCCCAACAGGACTGCAGACAATAATAATACCTTGACAGAGGTTCTAACCATTCCCCCACCTTATCCAAAACACAAAGTTCTAGCTGGGTTCTTAAAGGAGAACTATGAGGTGAGTGCTTTTCACTCACCTCACAGTTCTAGCCGACCTGTGACAATGAGGCTATCACAGGTCGGCTCAGTAGATCGGGAGGTGAGTGAACACATAGTGGCGCCTGCTCACCTCTCGATCCTGTCAGAGCTCTCTGCCGTGAAAGGGGAGGGGGGTATCCCCCCCTCCCCGCTCCACAAGCGCTGACTGGCGGATCGGACGGGGGAGGGGGCAGGTACAGCTGGCTCTGCCTCTAGATAGTCGGGATCCGCTTCAGCTGCGGCGTCTCGTATACTGCGAGCAGTAGCTCGCGGTATACTGTGGTGTCCCAATATACCGCGAGCTGTAGCTAGCGGTATACTGAGCCTAGGGTGATGGGAGGATGCTAGTTTGTGTCCTCCCATTACCCTAAGGAGAACTATGGGGAAAGCCTTAACCCCATAGTTCTCCTTTAAGGGCACCACCAGCAGCATTAGACAGTAACCGATGGTGTACAATGCATCAAGAGCATTGCCGATGTGATGAAAGAAACTCATCACACTGTAACCTTTTTTCAAACTTTGGTGTAAACATTAATGACAATAGTACCATGAGTCACCTGCACTCGATACAGCCTTGCATCCTTCCAAGATGGTGGTGCTTGCAGCAACAACATGGATGGTGCCGTGTGAAGTTCCAAATGAATGTCAGATAATGAGCAGCACACACGCAATGTGCTGTATCATCAATCCTTTTACTTTTGTATTTATCCCTTTTCTATCACTGTCGCCCTGAGAAAAGGACCCTGTGTGACCCCAAAACATTGGCTATGTAGGACATACGGTGACAGTGATTCAATAAAACGTAACAGGATTGATGATATGTTGCATGTGTGCTGGTGACTATCTGATATTCATTTGGAACATTATTGACAATTCATTCAGCTCTATTCACTGCAGTTCATTCCTATGTGGTATACTGTGTTGCAACATGCTTGCAATAGAAAAAAGTACTGCATGTAGTACATTTTTCAGCACACACCACCAAACCTTCATTGTAAGCAAGGGACTTTGTCTTGTCTATGCTTTAGGACTGCGCTGGGCAGAGTTGCCCAGCCTAACGCATCTGGTGTGAATGGTCCTAAATGCAGCTAGTGAATATATCTGAATATAACTTGATCTTAGCCTCTTGTAATCTCTTGCATCACCAGGAGGCATTCAGGTGAGCTGCATGCAAATGTAGTTACAAGGACAATGTTGGCAGGAGGAAAGAGCAGTCTGCTGAGCTTATCAAGCTGTCACTACTTCTTTATTGTCCTCTCCCAGTCTGCAGGCATGGAGTTGACTATTCTGTATTAGTTTAATGCAGTGGAAGAGGTTCAGGTGTCCAGCCCAGCTATGCTGGGCAAATGTCAGGACTGTAGGGGCAGGAATACAAATCCTTCAGTGGGTAAAACAACTCATATATATATATTTTAAATATGGATATAGCTGTTTGCCTGGAGTTCAGTGGTGTAAAATACGCCAGTACTACATACAGTGTTTTTGGAAGTTGATTATTCTTTCTTATACTTGTGCAGCAGGGGAGAATAATTTCCTTTTGAATCTATGATTAGATGATAAGACTCACATTATTTTCTACTTAAAAACTGCAATGTGAGAAATTACCTCTTTACCATAGCGCCTAGTGGTCATGAGAATCTTTAGCTTAATAATCTTCGAGAAAAGTATTTTTTTTAAATCAGAATTGATTGGGAAGACTATTCATTTATTATTAGTTATTAAACTCTTGAAGGAATTGGACAAATAGTGCCCCATGGCTCAAGCAGCACACTGAGTGCTAATGTAATACATTATGTATACCTAATTGCCAATTTCCATAAACACCCTTATTCCCAGCACACCCCGTTATGTATAATGAGGGTTTTATTAGGAAGAATTAATGTTCCCAGTAGATCTCCTTGTAATCTGGTGACATCCAGTATTTAATCCCAAATACAGGCTGATTTGCCTTTGTCTGTCATGATTTGCGAGGGATTAATGGATTCTCTCTGGAGTATTTTGGAAAACATTCTTTAATCTCTTTGTCATTGTGGCATTTCATTTACAAAGAACTTTATCATTATCAACATATATATATACTTTCCCAGTTTAACTGGTAGTAAATTGACCTATTTCTGCAAACACTGTTTTGAATATATTGATATATGCTTATGCAACCATTTTGCACTCTTCCCTAATTAATTTTGATACTATTTAAGTTGTTTTCAATTATAAGCTCACATATTACATGCATAAATAAAATCAAGAATTGAATGTGTATATAATATTATGATATA